AACTGAGTAATACTCTCTAAATTCGTTTCTTCACCGCAGTACAAATATATGAATTTCATACATCTAAAATCATTATTCATCACTTGGATGGTTTATTTGGACCCAACATATTGACCAGCTCCCAGTTGGCTTGTAAGCTCAGTTGGTAGAGCGCTGCACCGGTATCGTAGAGGTCATGGGTTCAAATCCCGTACGAGCCTGAATTTTTGTCCGGTCCTATTTTCAACTACTAGTTCAGTAGTGTTCTTAGCTGCGAGGATATCTAAAATTCGTTTTTCCGATGTGTTTTTTCCAGCTCAATAAATGAATATTTTGGTTCGGGCATCATGACAGAGAACGGAATTATTTTAAACAATGAGATGGCAGACTTTTCAATTCCTGGAGTCACGAAGGTTGGCTGGGATGGGCCGCCCAAGGTAAGTCAAAACGTTTGCTACATCCTGTGTATTATTCCACCTTTATAGGGAAATGATGGCCATTCCAAAAGTAATCATAGTGATAAAAATATCTTAGCCCGACATTTCACAGAATAATCTCAACTCTCTCCTCGTCGACGACCTAACGCAACGTAAGAACGTGCTAAATGTGTTTTATTCAGTTGGAATTTGTTCATTTAACTGCCAACATTCGGGCCGTTTACTTTCAGGCTAACTTTATTGTGCCAGGAAGGCGTCCTCTCTCGTCCTGTGTGCCAACTGTTGTTCTTCATAAGGAGGTAACGAAGTTTGCCAAGGTTCAATGTAGCCTATATGTTAAACTGCATTTAAAAGACTGACATATGGAAGCAAAATTACTAATAAAATGCACCGTCGAGTCATGGTACCTGCGATAAGATGAATGCAACGTTTTTTCGAGGACTATAGGAAAATTAAAAAATTACATTACAGCTCGGTAATCTCCACAATCGTTGTTGTTAGAATGAAAAACCAAGCAATTATGATTGTATCTCAGCAAAAAAGCGAGACTTTGAAACTTTGAACATGTGTCTGTCTTACACTATATTTACAACTGATGTATCGTTATTGTTGTGAGTGATTCAAGGAATAAGATTTGGGAAAAACGGTGTAAAACGGTGCTCTAGCAATGGCAAAAAATTAATAAACGGCGTGGCGATTAGTCGTGTAAATATTGTATTATAACTTTCTATTTAAATTGTAAAATGTTTTGGTAAAATTTCCGCACAGCCCCATACTATTGTAAACAAATCTGTTTTCTCATTGGCAATGTATTGTTTTTGTCATTGTTTTCTCCAACCGAGAACTGAATGCATATTTAGTATAGGGCTGTGCGGAAATTTTACCCCTTCCTCTTTTTCTCTCACCTTATCCTCCTTCTTCCACATCTCCGTGTTCCAATCGAGCATCATGAGCGTTCGCTGTAGAAGTTGTTAACGTTTGTTTTATTTCTTTAGAAACGTTGTTGGTTCCGCATGTCACTGGGGGCTTCTGGTGGAATGTACATAACGCCTTCGGTAGCTGAAGTTTTGGTTAGCTATCTCGCCTTTAATATGTCGTTGAAGAATTCCATTGAAAGACCAAGAGTATTCTTTAATATAAACACTGGCACTCCAGAAATTGAAGGTACTGATGTTGGCTTTGTTTTTCATTTCTGGTTTTGCATGCGACAGGCAGAGAGAAACAAATAATTATGACGTTCATTGCTATTTTACCAAATTTGACTTCGTCTCGTCAGTGTTTACGTAAATTAAGAATTCTCGTGTGGTATACAGACAACGGCGTGACTCAAATATGCCTTTTCCGAATTCTAAGTACTGTCATGTTCAAAATGAGGGTTCAAGTTTGAATGAGTTGTATTTGAAAAGGAGAGTTAAAATTCTTTGGCATGAAATGCTTTGCACTTATCTGAGCCTTTTCAAGGCGAATAACCATGAAGTGAATCCAACCCAAATTTCCTCCCTTTTTAATCTGCTCCACCACTGGGAACGGGCTGTGCGTACCCCAGAAGAGGCACTGCATGATGAATATGGCCCATTGAAGAACAGAGAGGAGTTAACCTTTGCTCCCCAAAAGTCCAGTTGCAATCACAATTTTCTGTTTGATTTAAATTTTATTTGCTGTTATTGAAACGTAACAAACGGTTGACTTTGCTCTATGTTTTCCCCTAGCTGACAAATTCGAAGACAAGGAAGTGGCCTCTAGTATAAAGAAGGATCTTCGCAACATGGGTCATGATATCTCGCAGAGGCCTGCACTAACGGATGTAAATGGATTATCATATTTTAAAGAAAACGTTTCAGCGCATGCTGACAGCAGAAGGGGGGGCGAAGGAAGTGCTCAGTTTTAACTTTGGAATTTAGTGGCTCTGCTCTGGTGTTAATTTAACTCCAAGAAATTATTTATTCTGTCACTAAAGTAATGTAATGGGTGTATGTTTAGGGGAAATAAATGTGTAATAGTGGTTTAAAAGGTTGCCGCTCGCATCCAGGAAAGGCTGGTTTTCGCTTGAGCATAAACACAAGCCAAGACACGCGCGAAAAGTAAGGAAAATGACGAAGAAGAACAATCTTGTTTCAGTTTTATGTTCATGGTTACGTTTGTGTTACTTTCGCTGTCCGGCGTGATCTCGTTGCTAGGGTTCATTGCTGGGGCGTTCTAATTGTAGTTGGTTTACTTAACTCGACCACTCAGATTCAAAACTAAAACCAATCACGACTTGGTCACTCGTGTTTTCATTTCATGTTTCTTTCTTTTGATTGGCTGAAGTTTTTATTTTTGGTTTGGTTCCAAGTACTTTCTCAACTGGAATTCTCTCAAGCATGACAGGCTGTTTTTACCTTCCGGTTTTGGACGGACTGAGAGAAAATGCAAAAATTAACCGCTGTTCATTTCCATTCACCGTTTTCTTTGTCTCTCCTCGCTCTTTTGTGTTCGTAATGATGCGCCAGTGAAAATCGGACTGAAACAAAATCTGTCATTAGAGACTTCGTCAGACTAGACTGTAAATAGTGCTTTTAAGGTGGGAATGTACCTTTTTATGTAATGGTAAGGTTGTAATAAAGGTGTTACTCTCCACTCCTTTTATCTCTTAAATACGATATCGTTCATAAAGTTACTGGGTTCTTCTTCAGTGGGAAACCATGTTCGGATTCGAAAAAGTGACGAAACTCGAATCACAGGATCAGTTGAAAGTAGACATTAGATGGAATATGCCCATGATTAGCGCCTCTTTCTTAACAGTGTGCTGTGTTCTTGGGAAAAACACTACTTTCACTTCATCTCTCCACCCAGGAGAGTAAGCAGGAACCAGTAAACCGCGAGGGGAACATTATACACTTAATGTATGGTCCGAAGGGAAACAGTTTTGTTTTCCTCGAGTCCTCATGTTTGCCGAGATGAAGTGGAGGGAAACATCAGGATAAAGGGGTAAGTTTCTAAAGAAACTGTGGTGCTGCGTCGGTGGGAGAGTATAGCAGGTAATTTAGTGTTAACAACTGGGTTGAAAACGTAAATTAGCCACAGTAAAGGGTAAAAAAGCCGACGTTTCGAGCGTTAGCCCTTCGTCAACACTAAATTACCTGGAAACATCAGGACTCGAGGGAAAACAAAACTAACTAGTTTCCCGATGGGACTATACCTTAAGTGCTTTGTTAAATATATAGACTTTCCCTTAAACAATCACGTGGCAAAATCGGCGCGCGGGCAACAACTCGAGCTCCACAAAGGTATCCCGGACGGGATACATTTGAATTTGATTAGGGGCACTTGACCAAGAATCAACCAATCACAGTGCTCGTTTTGTTAACTGAAAGTTTAGGTATATAACAAAATGAAATGTTGAAGGTGAATTGCGATGGACTGGTGCTTCATCCAGCGAGGGTAGCTTTACATCTGGTGGCTACAAGCCACGGAAATTGGGATAAGCCCTGAATAACAGGAAAGGTTGTAAGGCTCAATTTTGTCGGTATTTTCGGTAGACCTATGTGACATTTTCTTTTCACAAGCGACTAATGTGTAGCGCCACTCACTTGCTGAAGAATTTATCGACTTCGCTCAACCTCAAGATGGAGGAGAACTCGCTCGTAGGTGACAACTGATAAAGCCACCCATTTTTCTGCGGGCGTTTTTCAAAATTGTGAGCTGATTTCAGCCAAAAAGACGCCATAAGACCACCAAAGCCACGGCCATCTTTATTTAATTTGAAGCAATGAGCTATCCATCAATTACAGTTTGAATTATTTCAGCTGGCACAGAAAACTACAGTAAATTTTGCAACAGATATATAGCGCGACGTGTGCCCTCCTTCAAGGACAATCTGTCGCAATGTAAAAGGTTAAATCAATAATTAGTACTACTAGTATAAGAATTTGGCCTTGGGCACAAAATTTTTACTTGTAAAAATGCAATTGCTGTTGAAAAGAGATAATTAGATGGTCATGGAGAGATTAGGGCAGCTATAGTGTAACTTAAATCCACATAGAGACTTGCACTTTGGTCTGTTAATAAAGTGCTAAGTCCCGGGTTGGACTTGGTTTCAAAGTTACGAAGTGTACGACTTTTAGACATGTTTTGGTAAAAAGACAAGTGACAAAAGTTACATTAAAACATCATGACATTCCTTACTGGATATGACGAATGTCCCGACGAAATTAACGGTAACAAAGACACGAACACTACAGAAAACTTGCAACCTGTCCAAAAACCTTGACGGGGGCCTCTTAAGTTGACAGGCACGACGAAATTCACGAAATATGGACAATTCCAAAAATCCTAAGTAAGCAAAGCTAACAAATTTTTCTCTCTGACTCTTGATCCTGGAAGTAAGTAAAACATGAGCGCCTACTGTAAACTACTATAATCTGCGCGTATTAATTATGTCCGATGGAAGTTGACATATGAATGACAGTTTCAAAGGCCAGCAGGTTTCATGAACTTCTAAATTGCTTAAATTCAGTTAATTACCTACATGCAATTAATCGGTTGTCGGAATAATGAAATTCTCAATAGAATTCCCGCGACCATTTCCTTTGTTTTGATCGGCCGTGAGAATAACCTTGGATCTGGTTTTGCAACTTGACATTCATTCGAAAATTCTCTCTTAATTACTTGAAATGTAACACGTGTTATATTAGTAGTTATAACAATGACAATAAAGATTATTATAATACACTGATAATAATAATAATAATAATGATAATAATAATAAAACTGTTAAACCTTTTTAAGCGCCAAATATTTCCCTCCTACTATTGAGTTTACTGTTTATAACAGATTAATTTTGTTTTGCGCCATATAGTTTGTAATTCAATAACAAGCTAGAACAACTTGTAAAATATTTTTGTGAAGTAGTTAAACCCTCATCATACCCCAAATATTACATTTTAAAATTAAAATTCCTAAATTCAATTAAAAATTAGATTCTATTGTATCACGCAACTTTTCTTTTACCACACCTACATCATCTACATTCAAATAACACACTGAGAAAATTCCAACATTTCCAACAATTGTATGCAACAATAATCCCTGAATTCGGGAAAAAATTAATAAATAAATAACTTCCAACTGTGAGGACTCGGCCTACATTTCCATGGCCTTCATTGGAGAAAATGACTGTTTTCATAACTACATTGCAGCATTGAAAGAAACCTATTGTTACTTTAGATAGTATGTACAACCTTGAAATAAAATCTACCAAACATCCCGTAAAAGCATGACCAAAAGCTGGATATTACTACATGGTGCGGCAGAACGCAGTAATATTATTTCTTAAAATACAAGCTGACACAGTTTAAAACAAGCATTATGTTCTAGTATAAGCAACCTTTTTGCGATTCAATTTTACTAGTTTGACAAAAGTCAATGGCCATCATGTATTGCGGGCGTCCTGCGTAGTCACGTGCCACTCAGTTCGTGTATTATTTCAAAGCGCTATACGCTAAAGTACTTCCGCCATTACAATGACGTCAGGAATTACCATGTGCAGCCAACTCGTCTTAACTTTTCGGACTGCATGTCGCGTTTGATATGTGTAGATGTACGTTGATCCAATGTCCAGACTTTTTCTGCCAGACTCGTGTTTCTTCCGTCTGCCTTGTCAACGGTACACCAGCACTACGAAAGAAAAGGACGTACAGTCAATCAAAATTGTAACAAAATTCAGGAGCGTAATTGGTTTTCACCTGACCGATTTCAGCACTCAGTCCTATTACCATCACAAATACCTCTAAACAGGATTTACCTACAAGCAATCTATTATCCTACCAACCAACCAACCGATCGACCAACTTCGTAAGAAAGGCTCTTTCTGACAAAAATCGTTTTTTAACCTCAGAGCATTTCTATAGAATTGCATTTCTGAGATATCACGACTATTTAAACTTCTATGGGATAGATGTTTGGATTGAAGTAACCAGTTTTCACCTGCTTATGAACTGTTGAAGCCGAACGTAGCAGATACAAGCAGCTTCATCTCCTAGCATGTGTACGTGGGGCGACAAAATAGTTGTATTGACTGGAGTTGCTCTTTTGCCGAGCACTAAATAAATTGAAATAAAAAATAGGAAAAAATCCATTATTAAAGAGACGCAGTGCTCTCCAAGTCCTCTAGTTTTAAATCATCAAAAGAATAATCATGCAATACTATAAACTGTCGGAGCGAGATTCATTGATAACAAAAATTAGTTCATCTGGTGTTTATAAAAGAGAGCTTCAGCATCGACGTTTTGGAGACGCGCACGGCTACTGGAAGTTGAGAGTTCTTTTCTCCTGGCGCATACTTAAGTGTTTTTTGGTGTGTATCATTTGGTTTGAGATGATAAAACGAGGACCTCCCAGTTTCTGTCCGTGTCTCCAAAAAGTTCCTTATTTTCTTCCTGTAAGTTAATTTCTAAATTAAAAAAGGTCTAGGGGAAAGAAAAAAGTTTGCAAGATTTCTTAAGTTCATTCGCGTTTACTGTAACAGACCCTACAAACATGTAGCTCAAATTTGACGACATGAAGATAACAAGGAAAAATACGAATCAGTGAAGTGCGAAACTGTGATGTGCAAAACTGTGACGTGCAACACCGTGATGTGCAAAACCGTGATGTGTAAAACCTTAAACATGCTATTTCTATTTCGGGGAATTAAAAGGAAAATCAGAGAACAAAAGGAACCAGGCGAAAAAGTAAATAAATTCGACTTACAATTGTCAAAATAAAACTTGTGGAACTCTAAGCCTTCAACTAAGTTGCCATTAGATGCAGGTTCGAACGCTGTCACATGTGGGTCTACTAATTTGCTGCAACAGATCAAAGCAACAACATTTACTATCACGAGCGTGGGACAAAGAAAAAATTCTAAGTCCCCATGAGGAATCGAACTTCAGACCTTCGGATTCCGCGCTCCGATGCTCTACCACTGAGCCACAGAGACTCCACGGTAAGTGAGGTCTATTACGAAGTTCATAATTTTATGACACGCGTCCTGCATACTGCTAGGATCAGCAATGTCGATAGCGTAATGTTTTTAGATAGAAATAAAAGAGATGGTAGGTTTTGAGCACGGTAAAGAAATAGAGAAAGATGTTTTTTTCGTCTTGTCACGAGCGTGGGAACAAATCTTTCTCATAACGTTTGATTTAATCAAAGCTTAGGTAGCCAACAATTAAGTGAAATAAATGAAGTAGGATTTACCACAATTTTCCTGAAAAGAACTCGGCCAAGGACCAGCTCGTTCACTGTTTCTTAGTCTAACTGACATTTGGAGTGTCAATTTGTGTGGAGCAGAAAAGCTGGAAAAGCTTAGCAAATTACCAGGAGATCAAAAAGGACAAGAACCGACAAGAAACTACACAGGTGCCAGTAACAAGTGTTGACGAAAAACCTGTCATATTTTAACGGTATCTAACAAAAATAAATACCTGTAGGTGTCGAAGTCCCCAGTCGTGATACTAGTTATCAACTTCTGAGTAAGCTGAATGATGTGCTGTTCTTTGGCTGAAAGAAAATGTTCATCTAAGCTAAATAATTTAGTGACACAAAGGTAAGGGCGCAAAATAATCAATCTTGACAAAGATCTGTGAGACAAATAAACATCACACAGCGATTATTCTTGTATTTTCATTGAAATAATAACATTTTAAAATACGGTCTGAAGCAGCCCTTCCTTGAGTTATCACAGGAAGTAGAAGAGTGTTGCTTGATGAGCCCGTGAGAGACTACGAGTGACCAGCAGTTCTGACCTTAAATGCGTTGAACGTGCAATATTTTGAGTTTTTCGGCCTTCTGAGTAAACGCTCACAAAAAGGAAAAAAAAAAAACAGGATGAGTACGCCTTGAAACCTTAGACCATAAAGATCGGTCTTTGGATTAGATAACGGAGCATATTAATTACTAACCTTTATTTGCTGACACGTCAACCTCATGTTCATCTTCAGAATGAACCGTAAGTTCCTCATCCGATCCCTTTTTCTTACTGACAAAAGGTCGAACTGAAAATAACAATGATACAAACTACTACTTGCTTTAAAACAACAATCACAATTGTAACAATAATAATAATAATAATAATAATAATAATAATAATAACAATAATAGCAATAATAGGAATAAGAATGAAAATGACGAAAACATTTTAACGAAAAAAATAATGAATGATAATGGTGATGATAGCAATCCTAATAATGATAATGAGATAAGAAGTGCTTAGGCAAAACCTGAAACGATGCATTTGTATGTTTGTGGACATAAAACTGTTGTTTATCTCAATCTCATTTCACACATCATCTTTTTTTTAAAGTCTGATTGAAAGGAACCAAATTTTGAATGTTTTAAGATTTGTTGTTACTAGCCGATGATTCTCGACTAACCAGACTTAACCCTTTCAATTCCAAGATCTAAATATCTTTCCTCAGAAAAGTCTGTAAGACATTTTCATCACTTTCAGTGGCTCTGTAAATCGGCCCATCCGTTTCTTCTCATCACCCCCAGCTTTAAGATGCATTCAAATCGACTTTTTAAGAAGAAATTCCTCTTAGATCACTCATAGAAAGTGAAAGAGTTAGATCCTGTCAATAACAAATAACTCTCCGCTTGATTAAGATGTGAATTTCCACTCAGGTTTTTGAAACACCACGCCCTATAACCGACACCAGTCCTTCTCTGAACTACCCTTTCCAGGACGGGATCAACCTTTTCCCCCAATTCAAGCCTTCATTTTAAGACATTAACTCAGCCCGGGGCGTGAGGGGTGAAGTCTGTCAATAAACTCATTTCTTTGAGACCAATGACAAAGTACAAACTGTCTTGTATATTAGCAGCGCGGATGTGAAACAGCTGAGGTTCAAATGAAGAGCAGCGTGTTTGGGCCACATTAGATTAGTACAAAATGAGATGAATTAAGAGAAATGGTTACAGGGCTCACATCTTCTAAGATTTTAACATTTTATTTGAATTTAGCTGTTTATATACCATATACCACGACATCATATTTTCGTAACTTTAGGATCTTTCGTCGTAACACAACCAAGCGGTCAGACCAACAGGAAGCTTTAACTGCCAGTGTACATCTTATCGCAAATGTCCTAAGCATTAAGAGGTTTTTTTTTTCTTTTTTGTTTTTTTTCCTGTTTTAAGGAAGAGCCGTGTAGTTTACGGTGTACCATATGCATGTTACTACATGGTCTACACCGAGATGTGACGTTAACCTCAAAATTAACAAGTAAAGATAAGCGAACGAAAGCTAACTCCTGTAACCAAAGAAAGCTTTACGAGAGTTATTTCTCAATTGGACAATTTTAAACATTTTTAAGGTCGACACTGTAACATGCTGCAAACTAAGGCTTCCCGCCCTCGGCTCCAGTTCAACGCATTGACTGCAGGCATCGCGATTGGTCAGATGAGGTTGCTGATTGGTTAGTCTCGTTTATAAGACTGTCACTAATACGCCATTTAGGGCTGGAACGTAACACTGAGATACTAAACATGACCACAGATATGTCGCAAGTGTTCAGTATTTTACCACTTTATGCAAAGATTTATTCAGAAACACACATGCATGAAAAAAAGTCAACTTAATCTCTTAATACCTATGAAAAACTATACCATTGGGGTTTTTTCTAGGAAAGTTTTCCTGTATCCGTTCTTACGACTTGATCTCTATTGGAAATTCGCTTCTTTATTTCAAAAGAAGAGCTTGGAAAGCTTGGAAACTTAAGCATCTCAATGGGTTTAGGTAAATTCAACTTGTAAAAGGTTTATGTCCACTAAAGTTTTTAAATCTTCTACGACTCGACACAAAATATTTACGTTTAAAGCATTTATATTTATTGTGACGTGATTTACCTGAGTTAGCAGAAAACCTACGAGCCACAATGGTTGTTAAGATGGCGCCCTGAAACAACAACAATATTGTGACATCAATGAAACTCCAAGCAGAACAGTAATTATACCTGAAGAAAGATTAAAATTACTCGTTGCCAGGATAGTGGTCAGAATTGCGCCCTGAAGAAACATCAAACAAATCTCAGTCAGGAAAGAAAGACATAAGATGAGAATAAGAGAAAAAGAAAAGAACAAATGATTAAACAACATTCTCAGAGGGCGAATTAAAGAGAAACCCGGCCTTAAAAACAGCTTAGTGTTAATAAATTATACGGCTTTTCAAAGTCGTAACTCTCTGTTTGTTTTCTCATTTGTTTGTCCGTTAGTCTCTTTGTTATTCTGTTTGTTTACAACGGTCTGTAAGTGAAGCTTAACATTCATTTCAAGCAATTTGTATTGCTCAGTATTCTCTCACTACAGCAAAATCTTCATGTGATCCCTGCTGATAAAGAAAGCCTTTACTTATCTCGGCAATTTATACACGAAGCAAAATAGAACAGATACAGCTGTGTACAGTACACACAGAACCCAATCAAAATAAAAATCAATCAGTTCCTGTTAACGAATCAACTGGAATCAAAATCAAGTTCAAAGTCATTTAACGTTTAGCGCGTGGGTGACAATTTTCTCCCTCAGATTTAATAACTCAATTTCCGTTGCGGAAAGATTGATTCCCTTCGTATTAATCTGTGAACTTCAACCATAACTTCATTTCCTTTTGCGAAGTTCTCAGCGTTCATTCCTGAAAAAACAGCTATTACCTTAAGTTTCCTTCTAGCATTGAATTTCTTCAATCCGTCCAACGTTTCTTGTCTGTGTACTTTGGAAGCCACACGTTCACGGTTCTAAACGATGAAATTCATCAATTTTGTCATTTACACTAACCTAAATTTACCGCTTTCAGAGTGGTGGTTGTCGATCGAGTGTTGAAAAACCTAAATTACATTCACCACAACGGATCTTCAGAACAAAAGAACCATCACACTAAGGTTATTAAAATTCAAAGCACAAACAGAAAGATTGCCTGATGCGCTGGAAAAGGCGAAAAACCAAACTGACGTTGGTACAGAGACATACCACGATCCACGGATGTTTCAGCGCTTCTGTAGCTGTTATCCTTTTGGACTGATCAACGCATAGCAGAGTGTTAATGAGCTCCTGTGTAAAAAAAACAAACAAGCAAACACAATTTCCAAATTAATAGGGAAATAAGGCGAGGACTGCGTCTCTTCCACATTGAGTAACCCGTAATCTTAAATTCTCGAACCTGACTGGCTAATCGCGCACCCATAAGCGCTCAAGTTTTTTTTACTAGAGAGACCGCGGTCCGGAATTTTTTTTCGTGCCACCCGTGGTAAGGCCTTCGCCTTCTAGCCGTCTTCAAGGCCTCGGGCAGAGTTCTTTCCAATACGGACCTTCCTCCCGGTAATTAACAGATACATGTAAATTTAAAGCGTTCTATTACAAATACTGAAATCTGATTGGCTAGGCTACTTGCTATCTATTCCGTGATGGACAGGGAGTAGCCTCAGTAATCTAACTGTTTATCATAGGTGTCTTTATCTCCTATTTCAGTATTGTGCACATGGAACTGTGTCATGACGAATCCAATTGCCACCTTATCAGTCGCTTGACTCTGAGTAAGATACAACGGGATTTCAGCCCACTATTATTTAATATAACCTTCTAAGAAGCCTTCACAATTAGTGCTTCAGTAAGAGCGTTTCTTCGCTCGCAAATTAGTTTGAGCCCTTGAGAAGAGGTCTTGAATTAATCATTTCTAGTGCCTGAACCCTTGTAAATCTCTCGCCGGCTCGCTTTGATCAAGGCCCGTATATCGACTCACAGGCAAAGAAACACTGAGAAAGAGAGAGGGTAATGGACTTCCAAGGATTACTGACCTTTGCCTCATCTGTGACTGTATCCCATTCTGGGGATGGATACTAAACACAACAAAAAGGTTAGGAAATATCCAAAAACATTCACTTGCAAATATTATCAATGGCACCACCATGAATCAGTCAATCATAAATATTTGTCTCAACTGGATGATTTGTCGCAGTTAAATAAAGTTCTTGATCTTTAATAGAAGAGGTTAGGTCCTACAATGTTTGAATTTTGCAAAGACTGGATGAGCTAGACCCAGTCCCTAAGAAAAATGGTGAATGCCACGCTCATAAGGTATGGATTAATTTTCCTTAGCATTAGATTTTAAATTTATGGGTCAGTTATTTGTTGATTGATCTTTAGTTTCTCAGCATTAACTAGCCATGATATCACACACAGAATCACAAATAAAAAAACTAAAAATTTTTGCAACATGCACAAGAAAACCAAGGATAAGAGTGGGTGGGCAAAACTAAAGAAGACTGAACAGAGATTGCAAATAAATAATGCTGAAGTTTGTGTGTATGTTCCGGTATATTTTATAGTTTATCGTATATAGTATATTATATAGTTTATATAGTTTATAATTTATAGTATATTATATAGTTTATCGCAATCTCTACAAGAGTGTATTTGCAATTCTTAAAAAAAACCTTTAGTATCCATCAAATACACATGTACAGTGGACATGGACATAATGTTTTTCAACAAAAGACTGTTTAAGGCCAAACAAGGAAATTCAGTGTGGCTAGCCACTTAAAAAAAAAAGAGAGAGACAAAACACCAATGGTTAAAATAAATAGAATACAATCCAAACTGAATCAACTCACATCATAAGCGCCAGCCTTAATCTGAGCATACAATTTGTGTTGGTCTTCATCCCAAAACGGAGGGTAACCAACAAGTAGAATGTACAAGATAACACCTGAAAATAAAACATACAGTAACACTAAGTTCACGATGTAACAAGACAGAGTAAAATAAAAATGAAATTCTGACAATTTACCACATCAAGGTCCTATATATGCACACAGTATATGCATACTGCATCTTGGAGAGTATATTAAGTACTGTGCAGCTGTACATGACTTCTATGTTGCATCAAGCAAAGTGTCATGTAAAGCCTGAGCCAGAAGACATGTTTTGGCAATTTTAAACAAAATTCAAGAAGTAGCATTGAATGGGCTGGCATCCAATTCCCTTACCACATGCCCATAAGTCCACAGATCTGCCATAAGGCTCCTTCTTGAGGACTTCTGGGGAGAGATAACCTGGTGTTCCTGCAAAACCTACAAAGGACAAACAATCGCAAAATTAAAACCAGTCTAAGAGCACCTGTACAGTGTTTTAAAGAGTTGCATTCCCAGAACGACTTATGAACGTGAAAATTACTGGTAGCCCCTGGCATCGTCATCAGATATTTCTGCAGAACAGGCATCAGTAAGTAACACTCAGGATTAAAGTTAAATTTTAGTGAGCCAAAGTTGAGTGATTTAGTGACTGTTGTGTTAAATAGGTGTGTGGAAAAAAGCCTGAAGTAACTGTACTTTACAGTAATTATAAAGTATGTAACTCAAAATTAACATCCACCAATTCCTCTCTTCCTTCTAGTTTGGTGATTACAGTCTGATAGTCCAATCAAACATCTAACAGCCCTATACTTTGAAACTTTAAAAGCCAGCTCATTAAGAAACCTGACGTAAATAACATCAAAAGATAATTACAAGTAGCTTGAAGTAAGGTACTAATGAGGTTTAGGAATCTCACCTCACAGGGTCTGTGGCTTCCAGTGTGTTCCAAATCACACATGACTTGTTCTACACAAGGGTACAGGGTGTGTGCATTAACCCAACACCCATCTTACCTATTCACAACCAACACTTACCATACCAGCCATGTTTGTCACCATCCACCTCAATAGCTAACCCAAAGTCGGCTAGCTTGACAGCTGCACCTTTTTCTTTACTTGCAAGAAGTAAATTCTCAGGCTACATATGAGTACAACAAAATGAATAAAATCAAATCTAATTTTCATATGTGCAGCTCATGAATCAATAATTGTTGATTTAAAAAAACAAACAACCTTTGTAAATAATCATTACAGTTGATAAAGAAGAGATAGAACTTATACCTTCAAATCGCGATGAACTACATTATTGTGATGGCAGTGATGAACACTTTCAAGTATCTGCTGTATGCAGTGACTTAAAGAGAGAAAATAAAGGGAATGTCAAGTTTAGTTTTAATATACAGTGCATTGTTCCACTAAATATCCTCTCTTCTCCTAGAGATTATTTCTTGATCTGATGAAAACTTTCACCCCTTGGGTATTTTCAGTTATAACTTTACCTTTTTGGATCTTTATGTAAAGTATTAATTTTAGAAAAATTTTTCCATTATGTTTGTCAATATTGGTCACTTTTAATGGTAAGGAACCTTAGGAAACCTTTTGCAACTCTTAAAATAATTCACTTATGCCACCTATCAATTAAAACAGAAAATATTTCTACCTTGCATCAGCTTCACTATAGTATTCCCTTGCAACAATGTCTTCAAACAATTCTCCTCCTGTTACTCTGCAGTACAAAAAACAATCTGTTAGAATGCATCATGATTAACAACATCAAGCACCATGAAATGCAATTCAAACTAAGTTGACAACACAGTATAGAAATATGAACAGTGGTAAGCATCTCTAAGATTCAGGTACCTTTAAACTCAGTCATCACATAAGCCATACTATGGCAAAGAGTACTATAAGTAGATTTGTCACCAACTTGCTCTCTCATACCCTTACTCCCCTTTCCATAAACTTTCTTCCCTTTTTTTTCCAATTGCTAAACACCTGGGTTATCTGGATGGTGTATAATGCACACAATGTACAAGCTTCTACTAATCTCAATTATCATTAATAGTAGCGTTCTCCAGAGGCACCAGCAACAGGTGTTTACACTGGGTTCTCTCTTTGAAAGCACCCATACTTATATCAGACAAAGCAGTTAAATTACCTGCCTGGATCTGAATTAAACTCACACCATTTTTTAATGGCTGGACACTAAAAATCCCTGGAAAACACTTGTAAAGCTCCTGACCATTCTAGGAGTCTATCCTCTATTAAAGAGGCACCATTATTCAACAACACAAAACAGATATTGCATTGTAGGTGTCAAGACTTACAGGTCAAACACTAGATAGTGGTATCCTTCTTCTGCAATGCTAGCATGAAGTCTAACTGTAAGGATATGAGACAAAACCAAATTAAACTGAGGCTTACACTGCCAGATCATAAACAGTTTACAAGACATTGCAAAGTGAGTGCTTAATTAAGACATAAAATTATATAGGATCTTCAATCAAACTCAAACAAACTCTCAAACATCACTTAATCAAGTCAAGGTCTTTTCATCATCCTATGAAACAACCATGGCAATAATGCCTCCTTCTAAAATATCAACTTGATGAGCCTTAACTCAAAAAACAAGTTCCATAGCCCCTGATTTTTACATGTAAATATCAAATCATAAAAAGAATAATTATGAAGATGCATCTCTCTGTAGAGTTCCACTGTAAGAATCAAATAAGCCTAGCTTTTCAGAACCACCTTAATTTAATGTAATTTATGCCTAAATCAATATCTTGTTTGTGAGAGAGGGCTGGAAACATAAATTCTGATAGCTTTCATTAAAATAGCATACTCTCTGGACTGTTCATTACATTTCTGAACAAGTCATAACCAATAAAAAACATTCTGCTGCCCATCCCACACAATAAAGTGTCCAAGATAATACGGATCAATTTGACCATTTAAAGAGTCGGAAAAAAGTTGTGCTGTATATCACCTATAGGCAAGAATTATTTTCCATTTACCAGGAACAGCAAATAGGCTTGAATTATCTTTTTGTTCTGCATTCTAAAAATATAAATCCTTTAATTGGCTTTCAATGTAAACTTATCAAATTATTTCAGGTTATTTTGCTTATTTTCTTATGAAAACAGCTTTTCGAGGGCTAAGTAAAGAGTTAAGTACATGTGATGGTTGAAGAACAGTTCTAAATCCATGAAGATGTACATGTACCTTGTAAAGATAAGATCACCCCAATCAGAACATTTCTGACATACTTGCTTTCAGATAATCACAATCACTAAATTTATTTATTTACTAATGCTGAGCAAATGTCTGTTTGCAATTTACAACAAGCATGAAAAAGAAAATCATTCTAAAAAGCACCTTCAATAGACATACAAAACAAATAAATTAGAGAACATCTTTAAAACAGCATACATCCATGTCCCTTTGATGAATAATAAACAGCATAAAGTCACATCCCATATGGATATTGACCTTTTCATGACACATTGCTCCCTTTGAGCTGAAGACAAATTTTGACATTTCCTTTGACATCTGGGTCACAATTAATAGCATTATCATGCTACAAATACAAATGTACATATACTGAATGAAAGAATTTTCAACTAGTAGAAACTGACTCTTAAGAAAAATGAAATTAATTTCTCTAAGATATATCTTGTTCTCAGGGAACCCAAATATCAAGTAGGATAATCCTCTCAAGAAGAAAAAATTAATCATATGATTTAAAAAAAAAAAAAAAAAAAAA